GTGTGTGTGTGTGTGTGTGTGTGTGTGTGTGTGTGTGTGTGTGTGTGTAACAGAGCTCTAGTTGTCCTGGACTCTCAGGTAGACCTAAGATTGTGGGATCAAAGCCGTGTGCAACCATACCTGGCCTAAGTCCTTATTTTATTAAGCTCCATCTCTGTAAACTCTTCATACTCCTCACCTGTTCTTTGATGATCCTTTGTTGCCCTTTTTCCTTAGCTTACTCTATTCTTATTTTCACTTTCCATGCTAGAGCACTGTTTAGAACAGTCTCAGGATGCTATTGCCATTTCATAGCCAGCAGCTATTCTTAGAAAGCTGTTGCTGGTGAAAGCTGTGGAGACATAAGCAGAAGAGATGGAGCCTCTTCTCTTTTCTAGTTCAGAGACTTTATGGTCCACACAGGAACTCCACCTGGAGATTTTTTATACCTAAATGCATCGTGGCAAATTGCCAGATGTTAATGTAAGAAAGAGTTGATAAAACTTAGCAATTCCAATGCAAAGTTACCTTTGGTTGTTTATAAAGGAATTGTCCTAAAGGCTATAGCAAAATATTGCCTTTCCTGATTTGATCTGACTTTTGGTTTTCTTTGAACTAAAATTTTACTCTGTGGTGACCCGGCCTTATTTCCATCTTAATAGGCTCTGTGAAAATTTATCTAGAAAGCTAAGAGCTTGGTTGGGTCCTAGGGTGGATGTAGGAAGACAGAACAATTCCATGTGGATAGTTTGCTGTACCCCTGGCTTCATTGTAGTATGGAAATGTTGTGGTCATAAGGCAGCATTTTAATACTTTTCATAGGTTATGATTTATGTATTCACAAGTTACATAAGTTACTTGTTGGAAAAAAAACTGTTTTAAAGTTTTGATTGAAATTTTCTTTTTCCACAGAACTCAACAAAAACCCAGTGGAAGGCTTTTCAGCAGGGTTAATAGATGATAATGATCTCTATCGATGGGAAGTCCTTATTATTGGCCCTCCTGATACACTTTAGTAAGTATACTGGAACTGGAGTAACCAATAGTTACTCCTTCAACTAAAACTTAACTTTGAAAATAGAAAATTTTTTTTAAAGGAGCAGGCAAAATTGTTATATCTGATATCATTTGTCTTCAAGTTGATCATGTGTAGAGCCTTTGTGTTATGCTTGAAGCTCTAATGTCTAAAAGGTGTTTTAAAAATACAGGTTCAGAAATATACTTTCTTGGTGGTGGAGTAAATCTGTTATGAAAACTAGTAAGGCCATATGCAAATAAAATCTATTTATTTATTTATCTATCCATTTATTTATTCATCCATGCACTTGTTTATTTATTTATTTATTTACTTACCCATCTATCCATCCATTTTCAAGACAGGGTTTTTCTTTGTAGCCCTGGCTCTCCTGGAACTCACTCTATAGACCAGGTGGGCTTCAAACTCAGAGATCTCCCTGCCTTTGCCTCCTGAGAGTGGGATTAAAACATGTAGCAGTGCTGCTTGGCTGTAAATAACTTTATTCTAGAAATATAGAAGATTGATTTCTCAAGATTGGAGAAGAAAAAATTGTCATCTTTGATTATCTGACTTGTGTGGGATTATGTTCATGTGTATGAAGATGTTCTAGGAGGACATAGATGTTGGATTTCCTGGAGCTGGAGTAACCGGTTGTTAGGAGCCACTTGATTGGGTGCTGAGAACAAAACCCTAGTCCTTTAGAGGCTCTTAATTGCAGAGACATTGCTCCAGCCAAAGAAGAAAAATTCTTACTGAAATGTTTTTCCTTCTCTTGTGCCTACTATGCCTTGACCCCAAAGGAAACACCATAAGTTTTTTTGTTTGTTTGTTTTTTGTTTTTGTTTTTGAAACAAGTTTTCTCTGTGTAGCATTGGCTGTCATGGAACTCATTCTGTAGACCAGGCTGGCCTCAAACTCAAAGGGATCTTCCTGTTCTGCCTTCCTGAGCACTGGAATTACAGGTGTGTGCCACCACACCTGACTAAATTTACTGTTCTTAATGCCTTACTATTTATTAAAGAGCAAGACTGCAGATTTTGGGGGAGTTTTTTTTTTAAAGAGTTTTTTTTTATTTAATTAACTCAATCAATTAATTATTTTCTCTGTATGTGAGTGTTTTGCATGCATGCATGTGCTTAGTACCTAAAGAGGCCAGAAGATAGCTTGGAACCTTTAGAACTAGAGTTACAGATGGCTGTGACCTACCCACCATGTGGGTACTGAGAATTGAACCTAGGGCCTCTGGAAGAACACCCAATGCTCTTAACTGTTGAGACATCTGAGATTTTTGCGTAGAACATAATCTGTATGTCTGTGTCTTAAGAAGACTTGAAGGGAACTTTCAAAGTCTGTTTTAGTAATTTTGTTACCTGGTCTCCACAGAATATATTGGGGGGGGGGGGAGGTATTCTGACCCTAATAAGAAGTATTGGTTGCTTTTCTATAGTTTATAAGACTTAGACTTAGAACATAAAATAACGTACTAACTGCAAGTTGTTGAAAACAAGGGAAATGAGGTGGTGTTTTCAAGTTCTGTCGCTAAGCAGTGTTAAGGACAGACCTAGATGTCCAGATCTGCAGTTCTTAGGGGCTGCACTTCCATGTTGTACCCCCCACCCCACCCTCCGTGCACAAGCAGTTTTTTTCCACCTACAGCTGGTAAAAGTGTATTTGGAAAATAACGGGCAGGTCAAGATGACTGAGTTGGTAAATGTTTGTGTAGAAGTATTTTTAAACAAAATCCCAAACATTTGATTTTTACCAATAAAGACTCAGGAGCCAGATGCTGGGGAGAAAGCCTACTAGCTCAGAGAGGCAGAGAAAGCACCCAGTTGACCTTTCTTCCCAGAAGGAAAAAGCACCCCTTCTCCACCACACTGTCTTGAAAACCCTTCAGACTGAAGGTCCCTCCTTTCTACTTTCTGTGTCTCTATCCGTCCTCCTGATTTCCTCTCATTCTATGTTCACTTCCTGTCAACTGGTTGCTTGCTTGTCCTCTTGACTTTATTTAATCCTGTTTACAGAAAGCTCTTGGTGTATACTGGGGCTGAGCCACACCACAATTAGAAAGAGGTTTTTTTCCAGTACAGAATCTCAGGGTTTACAATGTGATCAAATATCCTGCAACATATAAATGTGATGACAGTCCCCAGAACAGATTTAAAGAATGTTTAATGTAGTGGCCTGTGTTTAATCCCTGTTTTTTGGAAGATGGGAAGTAGAGACAGGAGAATCACGCAGTTAGCTTTGAGAAGTAGTAGTAGGCATTATAGCAGAAATGAGAGAGATGCTGCCTCAAAAACAAGGTGGAAAGAGAAAAAGTCAACGTGTACTTGTGTATTTTATGTACTGAGGAAAGGCTGGTTCATGCTTACAGCTATTAGCAATCATAATTGTTGCTCATCTGTTTCTCTGAAGTATATTTATATTCATCAGTTTTACAAGTTTATTTAAGTGAATTTGTTCATGTCATGGTATTAGAATTCTTAGGTAGCTGCTGTGAGTAGTCCTTAGAAACCAGTTTGGAAATACACCCTCAGAAACATTGTTATTTGAGGTAAATTTCTTTTCTTTTTCTTTTCCTCTTTTGAGATAGGGTTTCTCTGTGTAACCCTGGCTGTCTTGGACTTGCTTTGTAGAACAGGCTAGTCTTGAACTCACAGCAATCCACCTGCCTCTGCCTCCATGAGTGCTGGCTTGAGCTAAATTTTTTAAATTCTACAAACCATACTATATAAGTAACCTGTTCTATGAACCAAGCACAGTTCTTGTCTGTTTTTCATGTTTATTCTTCTGAGTTTAAAATAGTGTTGTTGTTTTTTTTTCTCCAGACACAGTGCTTCAAGGGGACACATAGGAACATTTTGATGGTAGTAATCTATTTACTCTTAGTATAGCTATAAAATAGAGAGAGACGTCATCCTAAATCAAGTTCTTAAGGACCATTGTTTAGAAATCTAAGCCTAATCTGCAATTCTTACGAGCTCACTGAATTTTTTATCCTTTCATGCATTTGTGGCATGTTGTTATTAGCTAGCTGGTCAGTGAAGGCACCACACATACTTTTGGATTTTTTAAAGATAACTGCTTGAGCATGTGGTGTAAGCTTTAATCCCAGCAGTAGGCAGCAGGGCTTAAAGTTAGACCCTGTCTCAAAACAAAGTCTAGTTTGTAAGGCCATTTTGTTAACAGGCCATTCTTTTTAATAACATACCCCATTTCGTTGTTCTCTTCCCTCCCAGCCCCCACTTTCTTCTCCCTCTGCTTCTCTTCCCTTCCCCTCCCTCTCCCCCTCTCTGTCTGTCTGTGTCCCAGCCCAGGAATTTGTCTTTATTCTTTATTCATTCATTAGGGTTTTTTTAATTTGTTTGTTTGTTTTGTTTTGTTTTTGAGACAAACCTTTGTGCAGCCTTGATTCAATCTATAGACCAAGCTGGCCTCAAACTCAGAAATTCTACTGCCTCTGCTTCCTGAATGCAGAGTGTGCACCTCCACTGCCTGGCTTGTTTTTATAATTTTTAATTATGTGTACATATGTGTGTGGGGGTATGTGACTAGTAGACACATTTGTGGCAACTTTGGACTTGTTAACTGTAGACACTGGCCACTTCATGTACACAGTGGTTTTCTGAAATCTGTAGCCTATGTTTAAAGAAGAAAGCACAGGTCCTGAGAAAGTAGTTAGAAAGTTGCCAGGACAAAGGTTAAAGAAAGGACTCTGTAAATGGATTTTTTTTTTAAATGTTATTTTTTGGGGAGGTATACACTAGGACAATTTTATCAGTTTGAAAGGAAAACCTTAGATCAGGCAAACTGTAAATCTTAGCAGCTTCTTAGTAGAGGAGAATGGAGAAGAGAAGGAAAAAGGCCATGCCATTTAAGCTGGCATAGAGGTCAGTAATGTGGCAGACAGACAACCACATAGTAGGGAAAAACTTAGAGAAAGGAAACCTAAAATGTTGGGGAAAAGACCTGAGAGTTAAGGCAGTGGTTCTCAACCTGTGAGTCATGAACCCTTGCAGTTGTTGAATGATTCTTTCACATATGTCACATACCAGATATCCTGCATAGCGTATTTATATTGATTTATAATAGTAGCAAATTTACAGTTAAAAAACCAGCAGCAAAAATAATTTTATGGTTGGAAGTCATCACAACATGAAATGCATTAAAGAGTTTCAACATTCGGAAGGTTGAGAACTACTGTGTTAAGGAAAGCATGCTTAGAAAAGTAAAATAGCTCAAGAAAAAGCAGATAGACTTAAATGATGTTTACAGGGCTGCTAATTCTAATTAAATGCTTTATAGAATATTTTATTTAAACTTTTAGTTTTGTTTTGTATTTGTTTTGTTTTTTGAGACGGGGCTTTTCTCTGTGTAACCCTGGCTGTCTTGGAATTAGCTTTGTAGACCAGCCTGGCTTGGACTTAATCTGTAGTCCAGGCTGACCTTGAACTCGAGATCTACCTGCCTTTACCTCCAGAGTGCTGGGATTAAAGGTGTCCACCACCACTGCCCAGCTTTTTAATTTCTTAAAAAGTGGCTTATTGACTTAAGTCTAAGGAAGTGGTCTTGTAGTTGTTTCAGTAGTGTGAGGAAGATGGAGGGATTGAGAATTAAGTTAGCTGTCTGGAGAGATGGCTCATCAGTTGAGAGCACTGGCTACTCATCCAGAGATTCTGAGTTCCACATGGTGGCTCCCAACCATCTGTAATGAGATCTGATGTCTTCTCCTGTCATATAGGCGCATGTGCAAATAGAGTGCTTATATATACAAGTAAATCTTAAAATAAAAGGAAAATAAGTTAGCATGGGTTTAGGTGATATTTAAATCTCAGTTCACCACTGAGTAATGGCCTGAGGTGTTAGCTCAGAAAAACTACTATGCAAAAATTCTGTAAAAATATGTTGTGCTGTTTTGTGATGATACCACTAACCTTCATTTAGTTACTAGAGGGCACTCCACACTATTACTGTCTGTGTAGTTTAAGTACTACTTTGAGACCAATAGTTGCCAGGGCTGTTACTCAGAGAAAGCTTGTCTGGCTGGGGGAGGGGGAGATGATAGTTACTGTACTGAGTATTTGTTTAGTCATTTTACCCATCTCCACGCAGCGTAAGTTTATTACCTCTGTATTCAATATTGAATTTTTCCAGTGTTGTCAAAGATAACAGATAATTAGCCAGGCATGCTAATCCCAGTACTGGGGAGGCAGAGACAGGCAGATCCCTGAGTTTGAGACTGGCCTGCTCTAAAGATTGAGTTCCAGAACAGCCAGGGCTACACAGAGAAACCTATCTTGACCCAGACCCCTTCCTCCAAATAATTTTTCTTGTGTGTATAATGCTTAGAAAGGAAGCAGAACCAAGGTCCCTAGGCAAGTGCTGGACCACTGACAGACTCAGCCCCAGAATAGAGCTTTAAAAATTGAAAATGGGTTTTGATATGTAGTCTGAGTTATTTTAAATTCAACAGGCCTCCTGTCTCACCCTTTCTGGTTGTTAGATTACAGGCATGTACTTTATCCACTTAAGAGTTTTGTGATTTAATATTAAAAAAAAGAAGAAGGAGGAGGTTTTGTGGCAGAAACATGACTTTGGTTTTTCAAATGTTCAACAGTTGGTTATGTACCTTTTTAACACTATGCTAATTGTAATAATACTTCGGGTATTTCGAGAGATTTTGAATTTACTGATACTTTAACATTCTTTTCCTCACCAAAGTCACATCATTTTCTGTTTGAACAATAGTAAATACATTTTATCTACTTTGTTATTTTACCCTATGAATTTTGCATTCCTCTGTGCTAATTTGGCTCCCAGAGTTTGTACACCCACAGATTGGCTGCCACTAAGTAAATTCTATTTTGGGGGTAAGGTGGAGTGAGAGAGGAGCAGGTAGACTCTGCGCAGTAAGTAGAGGATAAGTGAGCTCATAAAAAGAAAGCATCTGAGAATGAGCATTGTTGTTTTGGGATCTTTTAGAAAAATAGAAAAATGTGCTTTAAAATTTTAGGGTAACACTATTATAATTTAGAGGAGTGTTGGCAAACTTTTTAGCATGAGACTTCCAGTCAGCTATTGAGAAGCTTTTGAATGAATTAAATCAACCAGAATTAAGTGACCTAAGAGAGGAGATGCGGTGCAGGGACTTTGTGGAAGCTATTCTAATGGCTTTTACAAATATTCTTGGCTATTTTCTGGATTTGTAGCTTCCCCAAATTCTCTGTCCATTCATCTGTCTGTGTTCATTTGCCTGTCTACTTGACCACTTATTTTCTACTCTAATATAAAATACTTACCTCTAAAAGTAACTACTTGCAGCATATCACCAGTGATCTGATATGGACGCCTCCATTTCCAAGGGTTTGTTCCTCTTTCTCTCCTCTCCTCTCCTCTCCTCTCCTCTCCTCTCCTCTCCTCTCCTCTCCTCTCCTCCCTTCCATCACTCCCTCCCTTCCTCTCTTCTTCCTTTCTTTCTTCCTTCCTCCCTTTCTCCCTCCCTCCCTTCCTTTCTATTTTTGTTAACCACCTGAGAGTTTACTGAAGCAGTATTTATGTTGGCTTATTAAACTGTTTTATCTCCTGTATCCTTTTATTTGTCTGTGTGCTTGTAAAGAATAACTTAAATGCATGACTTGTTTTTCTTTTTTCTTTTTCAGTGAAGGTGGTGTTTTTAAGGCTCATCTCACTTTCCCAAAAGATTATCCCCTCCGGCCTCCTAAAATGAAATTCATTACAGAGATTTGGCACCCAAATGGTAAGCTTTTAAGTTTTATTTTTACATTTGCAAATATGATTTGTCACTAAAGATTTCATAACCATCTAAGTTTTTTTGTGCATACGGTCTTATACTAGACTCTAAAGAGATAAATATGAAGAATTCTTTTTTCTTGGTTTTCTGCTTTTTTGGAGATGAGGATTGGCAGGTTAGTACCTCACTATTTAGATCATGCTGGCCTTGAACTTTTGGTAATCTCCCCGTCTTAGGTTGCCAAGTGCTTGGGTCACAGGCAGGAGCCATTACTACACTAAAAAAACTTTTTTGGACAGGCACAGTGTACATGCTTGTAATCCCAACACTCAGGGAAGCAAAGGCAGGTGGATCTCTTGTGTTTGAGGCCAGCCAGATTTACAAAATGTATCCAGGACAGCCAAGGCTACATAGAGATACCCTCTCTCTGGGTTGGGAATATAGGTCAATTGGTGAAGTGCTTATTTAGCATGTACAAAGCCTTGAATTTGATCCCCAACATTGCATAAACTGGGTATGGTGATTCAAACCTGTAAAAATTCTAGGTACAAAGCAAAGAAAATTCTAAAGGTATATCCCAAAATCTTATTTGATAGCAGCATTATTCATTCATGTTCTCTAAATAGTAGCAATAATACAGTGTCTTATCAGTTGAACATAAAAACAAAATCTGCATGTACATGTAATGTAACACTGTTTGGTAAAAATAAAAGAAATGAAGTGTTTGGTATGATTTGATAACAAAAGACATGAAACCTGATGCCTTTGGAATCTGTCTTCACATGCACAGTCACAGAAGCATATTCATATGTAATAAATACTTTTTTGAAGAAATGGAGGTGATCATTTAGTAATTCCATTTATATGAAATGTCTAGAATATGCAATTCTGAAGACTCAAAGCATATTCATAGTTACTTAGAACTGCTGGAGATTTTGGAGGAGAGAAGAAGGGTCAATATTGATTGTACAAGATTTCTTTTTTGGGCTGATGAAAGTTTCTAAAATTGAGTGTGATTTGGTTGTATGACTGAGAAAATGTATAATCAATTAGATTGTGTGCCTCAGATAGTTGAATAGTATGGTGGGTGTTAAAGTTATGAGGATACCGGTGAGATTGTGCAGTGAGTAAAAATTGTTGCCGTGTAAGCCTGGTAATCTGAGCTGTAGGAGAGCACATACAGAGGTGGAGATACCATTCTACTAAGTTATCCTTCGGTGTCTACACATGTTCACACATATAGTAACAATAATTTAAGAAATGAATTTAACTACATGGCAAAGAATAGTTTGTGTAGCTTAGATGTATTCCTTTTTTTTTTTTTTTTTTGAGACAGGTTATCACTTTGTGACTTTGGCTGCCCTGAAATTACATATGTAGACCAGGCTGACCTTAAACTCAGAAATCCTCCTGTTTTTGCCTTGTAGTATGCTGGGATTAAAGGTGTATACCACTATGACCAGGCCTCATAAAGGATTTCAAGTAGATTTAGTATTAGGATTAAAGTCATTTCTAAAAGACATTGAGATGAAAGGAAGAAACAGACAAAACATATGGGGGAAATAAAGCATTCTGGCAAAATAAGTATAAATATTAAGTGTACAGCTAGCTATAGAGTTAATGATAAACATCTCACAGAGAGCATAGTTGTCATCCAACATACATTTGGAAAAGTTAATAAATCAGAGATTACTAGAATTTAAACTATCAGCATGGAAGAACCTTATCCCTGAGTAAGACAGCCATGTTGGTGCTAGTATGTATTTCTGATGGATATATAAATGACATACTTCTTTAAAGGTGTGATTTGGCATGAATCTAATTTTAGTCATGAAAATATGATCTCCACCTAGAATGCATCCTACCAACATTTAATATATGAACCTTTAAGACATGATAACTGAAAGAAGACACATTTAAAAGAACAGAAAATGTTTGATTCTGATTCTATGAGATACTTCAGTAATTAAAATAGTGAGAATGGGGGCACTTCTAGATACTGAAGATTTGGTGAAAGTGAGGAGTTTGTTTGTATATGCAGTGTGAGTTGAGGAAGATAAATGATGGCTATAATTGATTGTGATTTCTGTGTGTGTGTGTGTGTGTGTGTGTGTGTGTCCTGTCTCGTCTCCCCCCCCCCCCCCCCCCCCCCCGCCCCGCCCCACCAAGCAAGGTTTCTTTCTTTCTTTGTGTGTCTCTGGCTGTCCTGGAACTCAACAGGCTGGCCTTGAACTCAAGAGATTTCACCTGCCTGTGCCACTATGCCCTGCTCATTGTTATTTTTAATTCTTATCTGAGAAATGGTAGAAATTCTAATTTTATCCTGTATAAATATTACAATAAAAATGAAACTCTTCAATGCAAATCTTAAATATGTTTTAATTCTTTTAAGTGATGTAAGAAAGTAAAAAATTTTAAAATTCTAAAGATTTAAATTAAAATCTAAAATGATTTAGGAGTCTAGATTAGTGATGGTTTTGTTTTTTGAGACAGGATTTTTCTGTGTAGCCCTGGCTATCCGACAACTCCCCCGACCCCACCCCCATCCCTGGAGACCAGGTTGGCCTCTTAACTTGTAGAGCTCTCCCTGCCTCTGCCTCTCGAGTGGTAGGATTAAAGGTGTGTGTTACCATGCTTGGCTATTTATTTTAAAGAAATATATTATTAATTTAAATAAAAATTTTATATTAAAGATTGATTTTTTTTTTTTTTTTAAATAAATGTTCTGCCTGCATGTATGTGTGTGTATACCATGGACCCTCAAACTGGAGTTACAGATGGTTGTGGATTGCTATGTGGGTGTTAGGAATTGAACTTAGGTCCTCTGCAAGAATGACCAGTGTTCTTAGTCACTGAGACATCTCTCTAGCCCTTTAATTTATAGATGTTTTGCCTTACATGTATGTCTATACATCATATGTATGCCTTGTGTCCAAAGAAGACAAAGGAGTATGTCAGATTCCCTGAGACTGTAGTTTGTGATCTGCTGTGTGGGTGCTGGGAATCACATCAGGTCCTCTGCAAGAGCAGACAATGCTCCTAACTACTGAGACATCTCTCCAGTGTGTGTGTCTATCAGTAGCGCTCCCACCCCCCATTTAAAATTTTTACTTACTGAACTTTGAGGGCCATCTTATTAGAATTTGAGAGGAAAACAATAGACTAGGACAGGCTAGCTGTAAATTCTGGGAATAAAGGGATGGAGAAGTAGAAGAGAGAAGGAAGGTATATCTTTTGAGTCAGGGCAGCAGTAGAGGTCTGCAATCAGCTGTAATTTTAAAGAATGTAAATATAGTTAAATATAGCTTATATTCCTATTTGGTTTTTTTGAGGTGGCTCCTGTGCATTTGGTAAAATCTGTAGAATTCTTAAGAGTTAGTAAATTACATTTGGGAAATCTACATGTAAGTAATGTTTTATACATACACTGTATAGATAAGTATCACATTTGTAATAGATTATGTATAACCAAATCTAAACCATTCTTATTCTATAATTTTACAGTTGATAAAAATGGTGATGTTTGCATTTCTATTCTTCATGAACCTGGGGAGGATAAATATGGTTATGAGAAGCCAGAGGAGCGCTGGTTGCCTATCCATACTGTGGAAACCATCATGATTAGTGTCATTTCTATGCTGGCGGATCCTAATGGAGACTCACCCGCGAATGTAGATGCTGCGGTAAGGTTTGTTTGTTTGCCTGACAGCTGCTGCTTCCATCCTTCATCCTTTCGTTCTCTCAAAAACACTCAACTTGAAGTTTAATTTTAACTTACATATGTGTATCTTCTTGTGTCCATATTTTCATACAAGTAAAAATTTATCATGTATAATGAAATATATAGATATTATGGAATAGCTAATTTGAACTAGTTGATTTTGCATTACCTCACTAGTGTTTGTAGTGAGAACAATATCTATTTTATTAGTATATAAAATAATTTAACGATTGAATGATGACATCTAATTGTAACAGTATATGTGGTTTTTCTTGGTTTGAGGACTTTTTTTGCTTTGAAAGAATGAGAAATAAAAATTACTTTCGTCTCTGCTGTCTTTAAATGTTATTATAAAAAAGAAATACGATCTATGATTTTGTGAACATTTCCTAGTGTCTACTTGTTTGATAAAAACAGGTTTTGTCATAATTGAAGTTTGCTGTTGTTCATGCTGGTATGGTGCCATCCCAGGATGGTGGTGTGACCACCATTGCTTCTACTTCTGCCTTACGGTTCTCAGCACCTCCATATGGTGCACCTCAGTTGTCTTACTTAGGAGACAACCTTCATGTTGATTGGTTTCTAATTGTTTACAGTAGAGGGAGAAACTAATTTTCTAATTTTAATGTTTTATTTATAATTGAAAATTATGACTTTTTAAAGGTCTTTCACTTAAAAGTGTGTTTGTGTGACATCTATTTTGTGATTGATTTCTGCTTGTTTGGGCTAGGCACATTACTCAGGCTCTTTAGAGGGCAAAGGACAACTTTTGGGAGTAGATTGTCTCCTAGCATGGGTGTCTCTGATCACTAACTCACGTCATCAAGCTCAGTAGTCAATTAAAAAAAAAAAAAAAAAAATAGGTGTCATGCACATAAACACTTTTAAGTGAAATACCTTGGGAAAAAAAAAATCACAATTTTCAATTTAACTACTTAGCCATTTCACTTCCCACCCCTTTCTTTTTTAAGAGAATTTTTTTCAGTAGTTACAGTTAGCATAAGAGCTTTCTATTTGTAGTTTCCAGCCTAGTACTTTATGAAAGCTTGTTCTTCTAACTCATCAACTTTGTTGGGGATGGGAGTGGTGTTGGGGATTGAACCTAAGTCCTCATACATACTAGCTTAGTGCCTGACCTTTATTTCTATGTGAAAATACTGTGCCTTGAAGGAATTGTGGAGTGTTTGGGATTGATTTAAACCCGGGTCCTTGCATAAGCGAGGCAAGCATGTGACTGCTGAGCTACAACTCTACTATACTATTTTAGGACTGCAGTTATAAAAGGATAACATTTAAAATTAAAATAAGTTTTGATTATAATAGGTTTACATAAAATAATTTGGTTTTATTTTTTTCTATCTACAGAAAGAATGGAGGGAAGACAGAAATGGAGAATTTAAAAGGAAAGTTGCCCGCTGTGTAAGAAAAAGCCAAGAAACTGCTTTTGAGTGATATTTATTCAATAGCTAGTAACTTCACTTATTTCAGGGTAAGTTCATTTAAAACCGTACAGCTCTTTTGTCTTTTGTGGTCAAATGCTAATTTTTGAAGATCATTTGATTTATCTATTTGACTTGTATTTATTGGCTTCATTTTATTCCTCCAGTTTTACATACTGAAGTTTGCTGCTTCTCAAAGCTATTGTATAATTACATGGTTTTTTGGTTTTTGAGTCAGTGTTTCTTGGTGTGTAGCCCTGGCTCTCGTGGACTTGCTCTTTAGGTCAGCCTGGCCTTGAACTCACAGAGATTGGCCTGCCTCTGCTTCCTGAGTGCTAGGATTAAAGGCACACCCCATCACTCCCCAGCCTACTCAAGTGTTTTTAACTAGATGTTCTGTATTAAAATAGTTTTATGCTAATAGTCTTATTTTCACTCTTTTTACATTTTTTTTCTACTGTTGGGTGCTGAAGTATTTTGTATCCTATTGAATATTATATATGGTGCCCCCCCGTTTTTGTAGTTAAAAAAAAAAAAAAAACACAAAACAAAGAAAGATCCTAGAGCTAAGAATGAGCCCAGTTGAGCTTTCCTAGTATTTGTGAAGCCTTGAAATCAGTCTATTCTTGTTAGCTTTTTTTGTTGCTGTGATAAAATGCCAACATGGTAAATGTCTTAATTAGAGTGTCTATTGTGATTAAAGCACTGTGACCAAACCCAACTTGGGATGGAAAAGGCTGAATCCATTCTCAAACTCTAAGGGTACAATCCATCACTGAGGGAAGTCAGGGCAGAAATTCAAGGTAGAGAACTTGGAAGCAGGAATTGCAGCAGAGGCCATGTAAAAATTGCTCACTGACTTTCTCCTTGTAGTTTGCTCAGCCTGCTTTTTTTTTCTTTAATACAAGTTGAGGCCCCATGTGCACCACCTCCCTCTCTGACTCCACCACATCAATCATTAATCAAGAAAAAGCCCTACAGACCTGTTTCCTTGCAATCTAATGGAAGCATTTTTCCAATTGAGGTTTCTCTTACCAAATAACTCTATAGCTTCTGTTGACAAACAACAACAAAAACACAGCTAGAAAAGGCTTTATTTCAGCTTACAAGTTATAATCTATCATAGAAGGAAGTCAGGGTAGGAATCTGGAGGCAGGAACTAAAAGCAGAAACAATTAGAAATGCTGGTTGCTCCTTGCTCACAATAATTGGCTCAGCCTGCTTTCTTACATAACCTATGACTACATGCCAAGATGTACCATCATCCACATTGGGCTGGGCCTTATCAACCATTAATCAAAAAATGCCTCAGCTGGGCACAGTGGCACACACCTGTTATCCCAGCACTTGGGAATGCAGAGGCAGGCAGATCTCTTGAGTGAGTCTAGGACAGCCAAGGCTACACAGAGAAACCCTGTCTCAAAACCAAGGAGATAACTTTAATGGTAATGCTTGGTGGCATAATCCTGTAATCCTAGCCCTCTGCGAGGCAGAGACAGGTGGATGGATCTCTGAGTTTGAGGCCAACCGGGTCTGCAAAGTGAGTCCAGGGCAACCTTAATTGATGTTCTGTTTTCCCCAGTGACTCTAGCACAGTGATTCTTAACTGTCCTGATGCTGCCATCCTTTAATATGCAGTTCATTTGTGGTGACACCCAGCCATAAAATAATTTTTGTTGCTACTTCATAACTATAATTTTGCTGCTAATGAATTGTGTCTGATATGTGACCCCTGTGAAAGGGTTGTTTGACCCCAGGTTGAGAACTGCTACTCTCATTTATAACAAGTTGACAAAAACTATCACAGATCTACAGCCCCACATAAAACCAGGTGTTGTTGTACATGGTTTTGTTTCTGTCACTAACAAGAGGACCAGAAGTTCAAGGTTACCTTTGGCTATGTAGCATATTTAAGGCCAGCAGGGAATACCTGAGACATTCTCAGAAACATCAAAATCATATTATATTCCTAACACCATTGAACATCTTTCTTTTTTATTTTATTTTTCTTTTAGCTGGTCTTTTTTATCTAGGGGCCAATGGGGTAAATTTTCTCTCTTGTATAATTTCTAGCCACAAGTATCTTATACCTAGTACAGAGTCAAAGATGAAGGACCCCATCTGACATATACAAGGACATAATATAGATGAGTTGATCTCATTTGTCATTTGAATTAAATGTTGAGGTGATTAAAAACTGAAATGAGTGGTAAGTGTGGTGATACATTCATGCCTGTAATCCCAGCCCTTAGATGCTAAAAGCTGGAAGAACAGTGCCAAGGTTGACCTCAAGGTCTTCTGCGGCATGTTGCATCACTGAACTACATTTCCAGCACAAAGCTCCTCCTTGTCTCATTGATTCTTTTCTTCTCTCTTCTTTTCCCTTCCTTTGCAATTCCTTATTTCTCTTCTTTTTGTCCCATTTGTTTCTTCTTTCTGATCCAATCTGACCTAAGGTTTCTTCTACCTTAGGCTCCCAAGGGTTGAGAGTACAGCGGTACACCACTTTACCTAGCTTCTTAAACTGCATTTTTAGTCAGAATTGCAAAGCTGACAAAAATTAATGTCTGAGAAATCCAACTACTTGTGCAGATTTGGCGAAAGAGTGTACTGGGAATACTGACAAATAGATTTTTATTTTATTTGCAATATAGTTAGGGGAGAAAAAAGCAAGTCAATTTGAAAACACATGTCCTATGGTTTAGTTGTAGAAGGTGGAAAAGCTGTAGCGCATGTCTTCAGAGAGACATACAAGCTTTAGCACCACAAAGTCATCTCAGTAGAACTGATAAGTTATAATTAATGAAATGTATTACCCAGCAGCTAGAGTGTGTAGGATAGTTAGCCACATAGCTACGTCTCAGAAGCACAACTTAATCTTCCCATCTATTCACATGTGCATGTGCATGCATGAGTGCTTGCTTGTGTGTATTCATTTTGTTTGTTTGTTTTTAAAGAGAAGTGGAGCCACACATGGTGGTACACACCTTCAATCCCAGCACTTTGGAGACAGAGGCAGGTAGATCTCTTGAGTGAGAGGCCAGCCTGGTCTACAGTGTGAATTTCAGGACAGCCAGGGCTACACAGAGAAACCCTGTCATGAAGAAAGCAGAGGGAGACAGTAGGATAGTAGCTATTTACTGGTTTTACTTGAATGGTAGAACTTACTGGAACAGTGAGAAGCTACCTGTATTGTGCTTAACAGCAATTTGGGAACCCATTGGTCTGCTTTTTTTTTTTTTTTTTTTAAGCTCCTTTCAAAATGTTGTATAAAGCCATAGAAAATTAATGATATCATTCTATTTCTAGTAGTAAATGGAGGAGTAAACTTGAAGATAATCTTCAGATTTGTAGATTAAGAAATAAGAATAGGGACGGGGCAATAGCGTAGTTAATAGAGCGCTTGCTGTGTTCAGGCATGAATACCTAAGTTTCAATTCCTAGCACCCAAGTGTTGGAGCACTTACTTGTAATTCTGGTGCTGAGGAGATGAACATGAGAAGATCACCTTGGAGGTTATTGGCCAGCCTGCCTTGTGAAATTGATGAGCTCCAGGTTCAGGAAGAGACCCTGGATCAAAAAAATAAGGTGGAGAAGGTAATATAATGAGAGTGTGATTCCCATAACCAACATGGTTTAAGAAGGGAACCTTTTTCTGCAAGTTCCTACTTTGCTAACCTCCACATGTACACATTCCTCGATGTATACACATATAATAATAATGTATTTGTAAAATTTGGGAGGGGAAAAGCTGGAGAATGACAGAGGAAGACACCTGATGTCAACTTGTAGTTTCTCCATGCATGAACCTGTAAACCCTTACCTCCTCTTCCCATGAAAGAAGCAGGAATAAGGAAGAGGCTGTTTGAGGTAAACAAGATGTGCATTTGATATATTTGCAGTTTTTTGTTTGTTTGTTGTTGTTTTTTTTTTTAATGGTAGACTATTTAACAATAGAGACTAGGATTTATAAATTAGGACATGGTTACATGTCTTTCTGGTCAGCACCATTACTTGAAATGATATATGGGTTATTAAGTTTTCACATTTATCTTTTCTAGAAAAAAAATCAGACTTTTGGGGTGAAGCTTTTCTTTTGGCTTAATTTGACTGAAGGGGGTTTTGGTAGTTCTAGTATATGTCTTTGTATTTAAATATCTGTCACAAATAGTGGAATGTGACTCTGAGGAAGATACATATTCTTTTCTGGTACATCTCATTCTTTGCAGTAGTAGGTTGGGCAACTGATTGGCACAGCTCTATTGCCAAGAAACTTAGCAATGGTTGTATGTTTTAGACTTTTTTCTAGGAATTCCCAGTTTGTGAATTAGCCATATGTAATCTTCAAATTGTCTTATACTTTACTTTGTCCAGTAGTGCTTTAGGAATGGTTATAAATTTTACTCTTGCCTTTATAAGATTCACTAAACTTCACGTCTTATGTGAGCTGTCTTTTCTATTTAAGCTTTATTATTTGAATCTCTAGAGATTTCTTCTACTAGCAGTTACCCAAAATTGTTCTTGGCATTAGATGTAGGTTTTAGGGAATAATTGTTGTGTTTTAAATGAGAATAACCCCACCACCACTGTTAGGATTGAATGCTTGGTTCCTAGTTGGAGGAACTCTTTGGAAAAGAGTAGGAGATGTTGCCTTATTGGAGGAGGTGTGTGTGTGCATCACTGGCGGAGGGTTTTGAGGTTTCAAAAGCCCCTGCATCCCTAGTTAGCTCTCTCTCTCTCACCACCTACTTGTGGATCAGGATGTAAGCTCTCAGCTGTCTCAGTGCCATGCCTGTCTGCCTGCGGCCATGTTCCCTACAATGATGGTCATAGACTCGCCCTCTGAAACTGTAAGCCACTAATAAACTCCTTCATATCTAAGTTGACTTGGTCATAGTATCTTACATAGAAAAGCAGCTGAGACATGTGGTC